CATAAATTCTTATTTAATAGCATTTACTGTGCCACAATGAGTTCAAACAAACCTGAATACAAAGAAAAGTATGCACTTTTGTTAGACAAATTTTTTTTAATTTTAAATTATTCATGTTTGATGTAGAGAACTAGATTAATAAAACTTTTTTGAGCAGATAGGAATAGTGAAAGTAAAAGAATACAACTTTGCTATATGACAAGTCCTGTAAAATTGAGTTTTCATTATTAGAACCAGAGAAAATAGCTTAGGCAGTGGTAGTCTTGTAAAATAGAGATAGAGATGCATCTTCACAACAATGAGAGGCAAAATACATTTTTGAACTTTTTTTAAACAAGAATTAATAAACATTTGAGCACATAGTTATGTCTTCAGCAAATAGAGATACTTAGAGTTACTTGGATTATCATGAATATCATTAATATAAATGAAAAACAATACAAGACTATAAATAGAACATTTTAGTACTCAAAAATAGTTTTAAATACTTCAATAATTTTAAAAGCTTTCTCAGATACATTATAAGAAAGTTGAAGAGATCATAACAGATTTTATCATGCATACCAGATTTTATTGAAAGCCTTGGTTATGTCAATTGTAATATTGTTGGCTCACTGCATCCATCTAATGCACACTTTTCCATTCTAAGGATTAACAAGTCAAAAGTAGAGCAAAAGGGGTTAAAACGATTGTCAAAAAGTTAATTGTTAGGCTCAAAATGAAATTAAAAATTAATAAATAATTAAAAGAACTTAATTATTAAATATTATAAATAATTAAAGACTTGGCTAACAAAAGTAAGAAGATTTAACGTTAGTTAGAGGGGTTAATGCATTCTCCAGTGTTTTTAAAACTACAGAAGCCAATTAGTAGCAGGTAAAAATACAAAATTTCCTTGTGTAATAGTTAAAAGAGTATGGAAAAGAATTTTTGAGAAATTTTTGTAAGATGTGGCGTGTTAGATAATTATATAATAATCACTTTTAAGGGTAGACTCTAATGGAAAGGTAATAAATTGAACAAACTAAAAAGAGCTTCATCTCCTTCCAATTGTTAAATATAAAATAAAGAACTTGCTTTATTAGCAACTAAATGTTTATCAAATATTTTGAAAATTAAAACTTACAATGTTTTGAAAATTAAAATTAAAATCAAACAAATTAAAATGTTTTGAGAAAGACTGTAAACAAAACTGAACTTTAAAAAAAATCATGCAGTAACAAAAAACTAATTTACTAGTTAAAATGTTACCTTCTTAATAATCTAAACAGATTAAGTAAGTTAGAATAAAAGACCAACAACAAACAAAGGTTTGTTAATCAAACCCACTTAAACTACAATGTATTTTTATTCACAATGAGAAACAAAAAACTGAAAAATCTCTTGATAAACTTAAAAATTTAACTAATAATCAAATATATGTAAGTAAATATATACATAATCAAATTTAAAAAAAAATAAATTTAAACTTTAAACCAAAATGTTAAAATTTAATTTAAAACAAAAATGTTTACACTTAAAAAGCTAAAATAGCACAACTTGTGTTTGTTTAAAGGAGAAAGACTTTTAAGAATGCAGTTCAGTTCAGAAATAAATTTGAAACTGCACAAAAATATCTGAAAATTTTCTACATTTTTTTTTATCAAAAAATTTAAATACGAAATCATTAAGCTTTAGTATCAATAAGTAATGAAATAAAGCTGACTAAATGCAACAAATCTTTTTAGAGGATGGAATGTGGGGAAAGTGGGAGAATTCAAAATGTTCGAAAACATGTGGTAGTGGAATTGTAGTTTATAACAGAAGTTGTAATAATCCACGTCCATCATTCAATGGTAAAAATTGTTTGGGTGTCAGCAGTTATACTGAAGTCTGTAATGAGGATATTATTTGTCCAGGTTTGTTAAGAATATATATTTTAATTATTGTTATTACTTACACTTTATGCATTAACAATATTTATAATAGTTTATTGGCTTCTAATTCATTGATTGGTTACTTTTGAATTTTGTTTAGAACAATAATAGTTTTTTTTTCTTTATAGTAAACGGTAATTGGTCAATGTGGTCTTCTTGGTCATTATGTAGTCAGCCATGTGGTGGTGGTGTAAAATCAAGATTTCGTAGCTGTTCAAGTCCTATGCCACGTTTTGGTGGTTGGGATTGCATTGGAAGTGTTAAAGACTTAGAATATTGTACTTGGCAAAATTGCATAAGTATGTTGTTGCAAAAAATATTTTTCAAGATTGTTTACGATTATTTTACACTCTTTGTTTTTCAGGGTAGTTAGGTAGCATTATTTTCTACTATTTTGATTTAGTTTAACTTTATATTTATTTTAGTTTACCTTACTAAATTATTTTTACTATTTTTATTACTAAATTACCTTACTAAATATTTATATCTATATTTTATTTTATATATTAATATACTAAAATAATGTTAATTTTAATAGTTGCTTTAGGGTTGTTGAAGCAAATGCCTTAAAAGTTCAATTTTTTAATTTTATTTTTCATAAAGTTTGAGATGTAAAAAGTTTTTTGTTTATAATATTGTCAAGCTTGTACATATTTTGTTAAAACGGGTTTTAAACATAAAAAGCTACTTTTTATGGGTTTTAAACATAAAATAACTAATTTTTATGGGTTTTAAACATAAAATAAGCACTTTTTGTGGGTTGTAAACATTTTACCACTTTTATGGTTATATATTTATTGGTCAGATATTGGCTATTTAAGTATAATTTATGAACCAAAACAAATGTATACAAAATCACACAAATTAAATAGCTACATTTCAAAAGTTTATTTTGCCACAAATAATGTTGACGATTGAAAAGGTGCAAGTTTATAAGACTGGAAGCTTCGATTTTTTACATACTAAAATTAATATCAAATAAGGTTGATTTGCAAAAAAAAGATTTTTTTACTTTCTGGCATTATAAAAGACACAACTTTTTTTGACCACCAACTATAAATAAGAGGTAATTGGTTGATTGCAAAGTATTTTTGTACAAACTTAAACTAAATAAAATTTTACTACAACAATTCAAACTCATACTTTGTAAATCAACGACTAGCAAAATCTCATGTTCTACATTTTATTGCAATACCTTTAGATTCTTTATGTTTACTTCTTGAAAATTATTTGTAAATGTGATTATAAGTACTGCCCTAAAAAGGAATTAAATATTCTGCTAAATCAACTTCTAAATGTGTTTCTTCTAAAAGATATACGCCAAAGCTAGGATATATGAAAAGGAAAAAAAAAGAAGTTGTCCACCAGTATAATAATATAAAACTAGTTTTCTTTTTTAATTTTTGTAAATTGCTTTGCTTTTCTATTTTTTTTTTTCAATGAAATAGGAAATTTTAAATTTCGCGCAACTTTTTGTAAAACCAGTTTTCAGTTTTTAAGTAGTTATTTCTCTGCAATAGGCTCAGTTCAAATTTTTTTTTTTTTTGAGGACCTTCAGGCAAGGTGAACATGTTAAATTTTGCAACTAACTTATATTGCCAATTTATGAATTAAATCTCAATTTTGGATGCACATGTAATTAATTCAAACATAATATGAGTTAAAAAAAACAACAAATGTAAAATTTTTAAATAAATTTCTCTAATTTTGGCTGGTTAAAATTTTGTTATTGGTTTCGGTAAAATATTTGCTGAAATGTCGCTTTCGGTTTTTGGTACCAAATTTAAATATAAGAAATTTTGGTTTATTTCGGTTTCTGATTTTTTTCTGTTTTTGCCTGTTTTAAGTGATCGAAAAGAGAAGACAGGAATATAAAGTTGAAACAACAGTAAGTAGAGCCACTTTAAATGTAAGGTTGACAGGAAGATTATTAATAATAAAAACAAAAATCATCATCATTAAAAATAAGAAGCAAAACAGGACCAAGAATAGAACCTTGAGGTACCCCATAATTTACTGGAAATGAAGAAGAGTGTTGGTTTATGAAGATGACATTGATAAAGTGCTTAGAAAGAAATTATTTGATAATCTCAAAAAACTTTCCAGAGTACAACATATTATTCAAGCTTCAGGAGAAGACCAGCATGCTAAACTTTGTTGAAAGCTTTAGAGAAATATCTCTAGCCTCTCTGTCTCTATCTGATGCACAATAAAATTTTTCAGCCTAATATCTCTGAGCTCTACGTCTCTATCTGATGCACATTAAAATTTTCAGTCACAGCTGTTAGCAAGTCAGCTGTAGAGTGAGACGATCGAAAACCATATTGATTGTCTGCCGGTAAGTTATTTGATTCAAGATGGAATGTGAGAAACTTGTTGATCAAAGACTCAAAGACCTTGCTAATAACAGAAAGAAGACTAATCATGCAATAATTGAAGAAATGACAGAATGTTTACCTGAGTTTTTAAAAATTGGAACAACAGATGCCATTTTCCGATAGACAATAAAACAAGATTAAGTCAAGCACTTATAAAATAGTTTAGAGAGAAGAATTGAAGAGAGTGCTGTGGAGGGCTTTTGTAAGACTCGGAAAAGGAATGTTGTCTGGACCACAAGCCGTAGAACAGTTTAATTGAGATGTGAATTTGACAGCGGAAGCTTGAGTAATTTCAATGTCTAACAATGAGTAACCTGTTTAACAGGAATGAAAAGAAAAGTTCTTTGCAAATAGATCAGCCTTGTCCTTGGCAGAGGTAGTAAGATCAGTCCTATGAATTGTTAGCTGGAATGTTTAAATTTTTTCAAAAGTCTCCAGAGCCTTACTTAGAAGAAAAGAACAAAATTTAGTAAACTAGGAATAATAAAGCTTAGCATCAGACAGCACCTTTTTACATTGATTTGAATGAGGCTTGACTTGGAACTGAAAAGAATGAATAAATGCTTCCAAACCTGTCTTTAATTTAATTCTTAATATAATAAATAGCTATAATAATTTTTGAGAAAAAAAGTTCAATAAAAGTTATTTCTAATTTGTTCTACCCAAACAAACAGATTTAGTAATGAAAGTAATAAAAGAACTTACTTTTTGATAAATTCTGCTATCGTAATGTTGAACTGTTAAAATATGCACATAACCCTACAGTACTAGTTGAGAAGGTTCAACTTCTTAGTTGAATTTATTCTCTAACATCAGACCTCAAACTAATCACCATTTTTTAACTAGTTTTATTAATAAATCTATTCTAATATCTGTTCTGAAATCTAATTATCTTAAAAACTCTGTAGACCTTTTTAGAATATGTAGAATAAACCCTTTTGTCAAGGTTTTGGTGCAAGCATTACTAAGACTATAGATACTTAACTAAGAATATAGAACAAACATTTCAAGGAAATTTTCCATTTTATGCATTTGTAATCTAATGAAGAACTTTGTTATAATTATTGACAATTTTTTCCAACAATTTTTGTTCAGAATCTTATAGTATTCATATTATCTTTACCAGATGATTCAAACTTCAATAGAAGTTATATGTATGATATAACTTCTTTTACTTTTAATATTTTGTTATATACATTATCTTATTATAGTCTCAGTGGCGACCATGGAACCTACATACAATATGTTCTCATCGAGGAGTCTTCATAAATAAGCACAGTTACTCTTTATCATGACATAATTTACTATTGACAAAAGTTACACACCAAAAAACTAAGCCTAATTTTAAATATATTTAATGTATCCAACCTTAACACAAAGTATGGTGAAGTAATTACATGGCTGAAACATTTTCTAACATGAACAAGTAATAATTTATTGGTCTGATTTTATTAAATGATTTTAAATTGAAGCGTATTATGGTCTTTAAACATTTTGTATACTGTAATTTTAAGTATAGTCATACATACTAATGACAAGAGTTTTCCAAAAATTGCTACAATTGAAACATAAGAAGAAAGAAATAGTTAAGTCACCTGCCACAAATAAGGTAAAAAATAGTCTGAATATTATTTGTAAATTTTTAAATTAATAATTTTTTTGACAAACTTCAAATATTATAATTAATTCATGTTGTTTAGAAGATATGGTTGTGTAAAATTTTAAATCTCCTTATGGTGGGTTGTGATTTTAATTTTTATGATTTTGTGTACTCTAAAGGTTTCCTAAATAAAATGTTTTAGGTGAATTTTTGGGGGCCAAAACAAAACTTGATTAGTCAATTTCTAACCTATGTGTTGTGTTACACAACTTGTATTGTTATACTTTGTGTTAAACAAGGTTGTGTTATACAACTTGTTTCTCTGTATTGCGACCTTGTTTGTCAGGTTAGTGTTTCGGTTTTAAATAGTTAAGAGAAAGAGAGAGTTGTAATCACAAAAAAGTGCCTTCTTAGTTGTAAAGCCTTTTTGGTCTTACTCTTCTTAGCTGTAAAGCCCTCTCAGCTTTACTACTAAGAAGAGCATGACTTTGTATAAAAAAAATTTTTTGTATACAAAATATTTATCCATTTTAAATATATCCATTTTTGATAAAGCACTCTTTTATTACAGTAATAAATTGGTTTTATCTTTTTATTGTGAAATGTTTATTTAAATATTGTAGGTAATAAATTTTTAAATTTTTTGTTTTTTTTTTTGTTTTTATTTGCATTCACTCCCAACAAGGCTGCAAGCAACCACTATTAAGTTGGTAGTTACTAGGAAAAAAAAGAACAGAGTTATAGAGCAAGGAAACGGTTGACAGAAGACTTGAAAAGTTGAAGGCTGTAAGAGTCAGGAAAACATGAAGATGGGAGAGAGTTCCAAAGGATTGAAGTGCGGGGAAAAAAACTAGATGAATAAAAGTTTTTAGAGCATGCTGGGACAGATACAGTAAACGAATGAGACTTAGCTGAATGACGAGTAAAATGAGAATGAATTTTAGTTGATGGAACTAGAGATGATAACTCCTTTGAGCAGTGACCATGATAGTATCTGTAGAAAAGAGAAAGAGATGCAACTTTACGACGATGGGAAAGAGGTACAAGCTTAGCAGATAATCCAGGTCCAACAACATTTACAATGCGTTTTTGGACCTTGTCAAGAAGAGAAAGTGAATCGTTAGAAGAACCAGCCCAAATATGACAACAGTATTCCATACAGGGACGAATAAGAGATTTGTAGAAGTAGAGAATGGAATCAGAAGTAAGGAAGTGGCGAGCACGATAAAGAGAAGCAACCTTAGCAGAAGCTAATTTAGCAATCGATTGTATATATGGTTTCCATGAAAGGTCAGTAGTAAGCGATAATCCAAGAAGACCTAAAGAGGACGACTCAGTAAGAGGATTGCCATTCATTAATATAGGAATGTTGACCATATTACGGTAGTTGTTTGCAGTAAGCAATTGGGTTTTTTTAGAGTTGAAATTCACAAGCCACTGTAAACCCCAATCTATTACTGAAGTGAGATCAGACTCAAGATCAGCTGCTTGTTCTAGCCGATCGAAAAGAGAAGACTTTTTGTCAAGACAGGAGTATAAAGTTGAGTCATCAGCAAAAAGAGCTACTTTAGATGAAAGGTTGTCAGGAAGATCGTTTATGTAGATAAGAAACAAAACAGGGCCCAGGATGGAACCTTGGGGAACCCTAGAAGTTACTGGAAATAAAGAAGAGTGTTGGCCTTCAAGGATGACTTTAATAAACCGGTCAGAAACACCATATGAAGCAAGCTTATGAAGAAGACCAGCATGCCAAACTTTGTCGAAAGCTTTAGATATGTCGAGAGCAATAGCCCTAGCCTCACCGCCTCCATCTAATGCACGATAAAATCTTTCAGTTACAGCAGTTAGCAAGTCGGCCGTAGAGCAAGAGGATCGAAAACCGTATTGATTGTCTGACAGCAGTTTATTTGACTCAAGATGAGATGTGAGGAATTTGTTGATCAAAGACTCAAAGACCTTGCTAATAACAGAAAGAAGACTGATCGGACGATAATTGGAGGGGTCAGAATTTTCTCCAGAGTTTTTGAATATTGGAACCACAGATGCCATTTTCCAACAAGCAGGAAAACAAGACTCAGTCAAACACTTGTTAAATAGTTTAGGGAGAATTGAAGAAAGTTCTGGAGAACAATTCTGCAAGACTGTGACAGGAATGTTGTCTGGACCACAAGCTGTAGACGAGTTTAATTGAGATATGACTTTAGCAACAGAAGCCGAAGTGATTTGAATGTCTAACAATGGGTCAACCTGTTTGACTGGAATGGAAGGAAGAGAATGTCCATAAGATTCAAGAGTGGAATTAGAAGAAAAGTTCTTTGCAAACAGTTCTGCCTTATCCCTGGGAGAGGTAACAAGATCAGTCCCATGAATGAGAGATGGAATGTTAGATCTACCCTTGTTAAGAATGTTGTTGAAGATTTTCCAAAAGTCTTTAGAGCCTAACTTCTGCGATAAGATGCGAGATTTAGTGAACTGAGAATAATGGAGTTTAGCATCAGAAAGCACCTTTTTACATCGATTTCTTGCAATAATAAATAGCCGTTTGTTCTCAAGAGAGTTGTTCTTTTGAAAAAGATGAAAAAAATGGTTACGATTGGATATAGCAGCCGCACAAGAAGGAGAAAACCATGGAGTAGAATGAGGCTTGACTTGAAACCGACGAGAAGGAATAAAAGCTTCCATTCCAGCCTGAATCCAGGAGGTTACGTAGGAGGCGCATTTGTCAGCTGAGAGAGAAAAAACATCAGCCCAAGGACCATCATGAAGAAAATCACGAAAGGAATCCCAGTCAGCTTTAGGGTAGTAGTAGGTGGTGCGATGATAAGGTGAGCCCAAAAAAGAAGTACGAGAAGAAAGATTTACAGAGATCATTGCGTGGTCAGAACCACCTAAGGGAGAAGAGGGAGAAACTGAACATAAGCTAGGGTCAGAGACAAGACATAAGTCAAGGAGTGAAGGTAAATGATTAGGGTTGTCAGGAAAACGAGTCACAAAGTTAACTATCTGAGTAAGAGATTGAGAAACGCAGAAGTTAAAAGCTTTAGTGCCAGCAGGATCAGTGGTGTTAGAGCCAAGCCATTCAGTGTGATGGGCATTAAAATCACCAACAACAACAATATTGGCAGAGGGGTAAAGAGAGAGGGCATGGTCAATTTGATCAGAGATAACATCTAAAAGAGTGCAATCATGGGAAGAAGGAGAATGATAAAGAACGAAGAGAAAGGTGATAGAGTGAAGAGGTGCTAGGCGAAAGCACATAAAAGAATGGTCAAAGGATTCGAACCTGATTTCACGACAAATAGGGGAATTAATGCGTATGTAAACCCCTAAACCTAGCATGTGACTATTGGAGTCTTTACGAATCAAAGGATAGTACCCATCAACACTGACATCTGAAGAAGGAATTGCAGAACTTAAATTTGTTTCACTGAGTGCAAGCAAGTCTGGTGAATTTTGCAGGAGGTAAGACTCAACTGATGGAAAGTTGCTTCGTAGACCGCGAATATTTGTAAAAGATATATTAAAATATTTAGGTGGTGGGGATGGTTTTTTAGGTTTTAAATTTTTGCTTACTTTGGTCATGATTTGGGTTTAATGAGAACTTGACTCATTTATAGATAGAGCACAGCCTCCTAATCAATGAGCTATGCAGTTGTCTCAGTCCTGTTAATTAACCCTAAGCCGTGACATAGGGCTCCTTATGTGGCCTTGACAATGCACACCAAAAGCATTAACAGGGACACCATCCATGCGCAACATGGCACTGTTAATACTCTGATATTTTGCAGCTGTTGATGGAATCAGCCTCTCTGAGAGCTACCACAGAGTTCGGGAAACCTTTCTACCAGCCGGCCTCAGAACCATTAAACTGAGTTTTAGAGCTGTACCCTCATATGGAGATAACAGGAAGAGTTGCATAGCCATTATCAAGGAGGCATAAGCAAAATTCTATGAGTAGAGTCAAGGAGATCCAGCATTCATCATCCTAAGCAGGAAACAATGTAACACAGGTTACATCTACGCCAGCCTAATAGATGAAGAAGGGGTTCGAGGCTGGTTAGCAGAATTTTTCTGCTTACCCCTAAAGTCTTTGCCTAGAGGCCTTCTACAAGACAGTAGCAGGATGCAGTTAACATCTGCCCAAGATGAGTATTTTTATCGAGACACCATCTCTAGCCTTTACTCAACCAAGAGCCCCAAGGCAGGGGATGTTTAGCTGGATACAGTTAACATCTGCCCAAGATGAGTGTTTTTATCGAGACACCATCTCTAGCCTTTACTCAACCAAGAGCCCCAAGGCAGGGGAATTTTTAGTCGGAGTTTATTTCTCCTAGCCTTTGCATACATGTTGATTTAAAAATACATGTTGATTTAAAAATTTATTACCTACAATATTTATGTTATGTTGAATATTTGTAATTACGTTATGTTGAATATTTGTAATTATGTTATGTTGAATATTTGTTAATTTTAACAGTGTTTCATTATAATTTTACAGATGTAAGTTTGAACATGACTGTTAATTTTATTGATGAAGTGTATACTGATTGGGATTTTCAACTAACAAAGTTTAGTGCAAAAATTCATGATGCTGTAAGAAATTTTTTTTTTTTTTTATCTCTCTTATGTGTTAAAATTTATGAGTATATTATATTAGTATAATATAGTTTTTGAGTTATTATATTTTGAATTAATTTTTTATTTAGATTGCCAAAATTTACAGGAGTCAGAGTGTGAATAAAACTTTTAATGTTGTTATACATTCTATAAAGTAAGTAAAAATTATTTTAAGTTAAAATCCATTTAAGAGCTCCATACTCTTACTCCATTAGATGACTTTCCTGCAAAATGATATAAATTATTGATTTGGCACTTTTTTTCTTGAGATCTATATATCTAATTTTTTACATTTAGCGTACATTCTTGCTGTACAATAAGCATACACAGCTCATTATGATCCACAATATGTAAACAGTTACATACAGCAGCTACTTTTTATATTTAATTATATTTATTTATTTCATAACTGTGTACATGTACAATGACAATGTACGGAGCCTAGTTGATCTAAGCTTTAACAGCTGATTTATGTTAAAAATAAGTCCAACTTTGAATTAAATTGTTTAAGTGTTTTAGAATCTACAATGTTTTGATCTAAGTTATTCCAGCTGTTAATAACACGGTTCGTTAAGAAATAGTACCTCTTTGGATTTTTTGTTAATTGTCTATGAAACCTCATATCGTGACCTCTCGTATTTGAAGCTATTAAATCTGGTGAATATTCCAATGTTAAATTATCTATTTTTTTTACTATTTTGTAAAGTTGAATTAGGTCATTACGTTCGTGTCTTTTTTCAAGAGTCGTTAATTTAAAGTAAGTTAGTCTACTTTCATAGTTTTTCCCTTGAAGACATTTTATTTGTGTTGCTTTATGTTGTATCGATTCAATTTTTTTTAATCTTGATCTAATTAAGGACACTAAATTTGCATAGTCTAGATACGGTCTTACAAGAGCGGTGTACAATAATTTAGTTACGTTTATGTCTAGGTTTTTAAATGAATGTTTTATTATTCCTAACATTTTATTAGCTTTACCAGACACATAATTAACTTGACTAGACCATTTTAAGTTGTTTAAAATCATAACTCCTAAATCTTTTTCAATTTTGGTTTCTGGTAGCTCAACTATATTTAACACTGAATCATACATTGCGTATTTGCTGACATTAAATTTTAATAGCCAAAATTGTGATCATGACATTAAATTGTTTAGATCTTTTTGAGTCTTTTCTATATCAGAATATGATCTAATCATGTTAATTAGTTTAATATCATCAGCATACATTTTACACTTCGTTGATAACTCATTTGGTAAGTCGTTTATATAAACAATAAACATAAACATCAACTATATAAATTCATTTAACATATATGTTTAATAATTTATATTGTTCAATCCATGATTAGTTAGGTTTAGTAAAGCAGTTTTCTATTTTACTGTAATATATTCTTTTTTATCAATTTCAGGGGGTTATTGTTACTGCTCACGTTTGAGGGGAGAAGAGTTATGAAGTCAAAGGGCTTTTTCATTTGCAGCCTCCAATCATCGCAATTTTTTCACAATCTCATTATTTAACATAATTATAAACATACAAATGTTTCTTAAACATTAAAAAAAATCCTGATTCTGTCATGGGTATTTATATATACCATAAGTTAGGGCTATTTGAAAAGAAAGATAATTATAAGTTAAGAAAACCTCTTTTATAGTAAATTACAGTCGCAAAATGTGGATAGAACTAAGTTCAAGCTTGTTCAAGATTTGACAGGGTATGTAACATCCAAAAAATCTCCTCATCTTCCTTATTAAATAAATAAAAAAATATGTTCACATTTTTAATTAGATGAGCTTGCTTAACTATCATATCTTTGCTTATTAAATCTCTATTTCTTTTTTTGGGAAAATGTAATATTTTTCCTACTATTGTTTTCCATTTTATTGAAACAATATATTTTAGTTTCTTTAAAAGTTTCAAGCTTTCCTGAGTTCATATGAAGATTTTTAGCTAAGTTATTGAATGATGATGATCTGGTTCTTTTGTTTGTGGATGCAAAAAGTTCTGCAGCTGTTTCTCCTATAATATCAAAGGAAACAGTTACATTTGCTGTTTTTTTTTTATTTTACACAAAGTTTAATTTTTTTTTTAATTTTTATCTTCTTAGGACTAACAGGAGATATTTGAAACAAGATATCCTTAGCACTAATTCTTTTTCTTGGTGATACATTGTTTCCGTCTGGAAGTTTTTTGATAATTTTTTTTGCAATTGTCATGTCGCAAATTTTTTAGCATATCTATTACTATATTGGCGTTTCACTATTTGGCTATCGACATTTGACTGTGGTAATCTTGACTATAGACAGCCTTTGCTCAAATATATGTCACACATTTTGAAACCAGAAATCATGTTTTATTTGGAGACAAAAGATGCGGAAAAGCAGATTTTAGTAGTTTTTTTTTTTTCTCCCTCATGTGTTTTCCGCACAGTCAAAGAATCAACCGCATAAATGAGTAAAAAAATCATTTAATGATGTTTAATTATGAGTAGTTTAGCTGAAAGCCAGATAATTATTATACCATACTCTTTACATGCATTTTTTGATAAAAGTGTGATGATAAATTGTAATCAATGATAATTTTATTTCCTTCTTTGTTTTGTTTTTATTGAATAAATATTTAGAAAAACCATTTCACTTTTAAAATCTGTTATAAACTGTTTTATCTCGTTCACTTTTCACCAAGTATCCCACAAATGATCTGATTTATAAAAAATGTAAATAGTTAAAACAGTACCATTAGCAGTTCCAGCAAAAAATAAACTTGTGGTTTTATAAATGTTTAAAATTATTTCTGGATGCTTAGCGTCTCGTTTAAAAATACGTTTCTTTTGGCTGAGATCATCTCTCAAACTTGTGTCATCATAGTTGATGATGCAGTCAAGTGAAGCATTTGTCAAATTTTGCTTTGCACAAAATTAACTTCTTTAACTGTTGTATGTTTTTCATACTTTGCCATTTCTGATATCTATCGCTTCTTTTGTATTTACTGATCATTTTATATATGCTAAATTAAATATAGTATATACATAACATAATAATCACGTAATTTTTTCAAATTAAAAAATATGGTTGTTTTACTCGCAAGTTTTAACCCAATACGGATAAATATAACCCTGAAGCGTTTTGTTTTTTGAACTCTTGATGTTGCAGTATTTAAAAAATTTCAAATAATTTGCAATGCTTTAACTACTTATTACTTTAACTTATTTGTGTTTTATCATTGTGAATGTAATTAATTAAACTAATATAAAAAAAAATTAGGTTGATAACGAACCGAACCCGCATTTTAGTTGTTACTGAACCGAACCAAACCCAAATTGCACTTAAGGCAGAAACAAACTGAACTCGAACATTATATACAACCAGACCGGATCCAAATTTTAAAAAAAAGGTTACATTCTCATCTCTAATTTTAATATAATAGTTTTGTGATTCTGCTTCCAGAAAAAATCGACATAAAGTTTTTCATACCATTCATATCCAGAGACCATGTTTTCCGAATTATTTATTGCTAATACCATAAAGTTAGTATCCAATAAATATTGTTACATTAAACATCATATAAATTGGTAGATCTAATGTTTTATAAGCGTGTAAATCAAAATAATGAATTTTTATGTTTATCAAAATAATGGTTTTTTTATGTTTTTCGGTCTTAAAAAAAAATTAAATTTAAAAAAAGTTGTTTTGAAATAAAAAATATATTTTAATAAATGTTTTAAGAAAGAATAATAAAATAATATAAGCAAAGTAAATATTCTTACGTGAACTGTGTAAATTTAATTAAATGAATATATTTAGGGACATATACACAAAGTTGATTTGTTTGTTTTACAAAAAGAATGGAATCGTCCCAAAAATAAAATAGAACGCTTTATTTTGCTTTTTAGAAATCGGCCATAGTTAGTTTGGAGATTTTCATCTTTTTTATTGCAAAGGCATGCTTAACAGACCTGATTTGTTATTTCTACAAATGAGTGGTTAAGACATCTAGATCAAGAAATTATTGCGTAATATATTGTACTAAAATCTATTAATATTATTAGTAAACTTTGTTAAAATTATAAAGATATGTATTTATTTTTATTTTAAATTCAGTGGTTTTTGTTGGGTACTTAGCCTTTTACTTTTTTTATATTCGAAATTTTATTTATATATTGCTTTTAAAAGTCGTTTATTTGTTTTATTTTGACAGTCTTCTACCCAAAACAATTTTTTTAATGTATGAGATATTTGTTTGTTTTTTTCACATGTTTTTAGCTAATGGCAGGGGTGTCTACAGGAAATTTTTTGGTTAATCTAAAAAAATTATATCCCCTCCCCACTCTTTAGTTTTGACCGGAATGAGTGTATTTTATAAAAATGTTTCTCTAAACGACTTAAAACACCGCTAAAATTGTCTCTAAAGTTGAAATTATAATTTTTGCATATTAAAAATAATATTGTTTAAAAATACTCAGCTGACGTAATGTATAATACATGAAGGTTATTATTTTTTAAATACAAGATTTCTGCAGACAAAATTCATGACCATGACATTACCATAAAAAATGAAAATAAAATACACTACAATCTCTCTTATTCGAATTTTAATGGGAAAAATAAAAGTTCGATTGTCTTCAAAGTTAGAATAAAGACTGTAATTTTCAAGTACATTAATAGCATGCATTGCTTCGTTCAAACTTGTGCTCGTCAACGGGTTTTTTTTTTCAGTTTCAATGGCATCACGTTCAGAAACTAACTCGTCAACCGTGAGGTTCAAATCTTAATCCAATTTTGCTTTGAAATGAAAAACTTAAATGATCGTCTTTCAAGTTTTCCATTACAGCCTCCTCTACATATAAGCCACAGATGGGATCGATCGTTATTGTCATATATATGCTTTTCTACTGCTTCTTATAATATATTCCTGATTTCTTAAAACAATATGTAAAGGTCTGGTCTGGAATGAAATTCCTTGCTTTTGTTAGCATAAACATAGCAGTTTAGAAAGGAAACTTAAGTGTCTTGTTCTCAACGCAGCGATCTGCTTTTTCGCTGCAAGTGAGCAATATTTTTCTTTAAGAGATAGGATGATTTCCTTTATCTATAGGTTGTGATTTCCTTTATCTATAGGTTGTGTGAAGTTGTATTTGGTTGAAGAAAGATAAGCTCCACCTAACCAAGTTTATGCTCGTTAGGATAGGCAGAACAATTATATACAATTTACTCAATTTTAAAAACAATTTTATATACAATTTAATCAATTTTAAAGTCTTTAGATCAAATAATTTTGCCGACATCCATTTTTTTGGTTGGACCCGATAGCAACAAGGAATATTTTTCACACCTATGACTTCACCTTCGATTTTTCAATTACAAACATTGAGTTTTTCTCCTCTCTCATTACCCATACCTACAAAAATAAATAAATTGCTAAGACATAACTTAAACATAGATTTGAATGTTACTTCGACATCTTTGCAATTTTCAATTCCAGAAAATATTTATTTTATTTGCTTAAAACAATTAAAGAAAAAATCTGAAAAATATTCATATATAAGTCATGTAAATATGTAAAGTAAATATGTATGTAGGGGAGAGCGGGGTTGGTTGTCACACTTTTTACATTTTAGGCTGCTCAGCTTTTAATTTTCATCCAATCAATGCCAAACTTTGCACAAAGCTAGTTTAACTATTTCCAGTAACTATTATAATATTTTTATGACATTGAGTGAAATATTTATTGCTGTAAAATCATTTTTCAAAGACCACTTCTGTGTGACAACTAGCCCCGCTCACGGGGTAGGTTGTCACATGGTGCGGGGTTGATTGTCACATTTGGATTTTGACAAGTTTAGATAAGAATTTAATGTAAAACGAGTACAAATTAATTTCGTTTATGTTTTACTAAAAAAACATAAAAATAAAATACTATAAACTGAAATATATATATTTTAAATCTAACACAATTAACAAATTTAGTTTATCACTATAAATGTTTTTAGTTTTGGTTTTTTAAAAATTATTGGATGAAGAACACAATTCACAAATAAACTGTTGTAAGCCTGGTGTGCATTCTTCATGAGCCCATTTTTGGCAAACCTGACATTGAATCCACTGTTCTCTTGATCGGCTGTTGGAAAATGATTCAAAACAATAGATGCACAGATACTTTTTATCTTCAGATGAATTTAAGACTATAGAAGGTTTTTTCGTAGCAAGATTTGATTTTATTAATTCTTTTTTTTTTCCATTAGTAATTTTTTTTTATTAGTAATTTTTTTATTAGTTTTCTTCTTTTTATAATTAGCAAGCCATGCTTTGAAAGGCGTGTTAGTAAGAATCATAGTTGACCGCTTTTTCCTACCTCTTTTTGATGCTAACCTCGGGCCTGCTTTAGGCAGAGGCCTAATACTCTCAGGTGGTATGATTGAATTGTTAAAACCTAATGTTGTGATTGGGTTCTGATTAGAGGTTTTATTTGATACAACTGGATCTTCTATTGTTATGTCTACCTGATTATCTGGTTTCTGAATAGATTCTTTAAATCTTTTATTTGATGGTTCTGGTTGCATTGAATGAAAATTGAAAAGACTGTGAATCTTTCACAGTCTTTTTTATTTGAATCAGCCTGTGAACAAGGTGGGTCAGGGCGATCAGTTACATAGTTAGGACAGTAATCATTTTTAGTAAACACATCAGGATTTAACGGGTAAATACCTGTTGCAGAAAAACCACTTAAAATATTGTGGGGAGATACAGTCTTAGGAAATGCAATGTTTACTATTTTTGGAATATCATATATTGTAGCAGTTTTTCCAGGATTCATTACTAACCATGATGTCATAGCATTATTTATGTAGTTTTTGAGAGGACCATAAACTGCCTTATCCAAGGGCTGCAACTTATGTGTGCAATGTGGTGGAAGGTAAGCATTACTATTCCATTATTTTTTGCCAAATCTAATCCTTCAATACTAAGATGAGTTTCGTGATTGTCAAGCAACAATAAACAAGGCTTTTCTTTAGTACATTTTGTATTGCCTAAAAAATGTTTTAGATATTTTACAAAGTATTCTTCTTTCATCTAACCACTTGGATTTGCATCTCCTGCACTTCCTGTTGGTGCACTGATTAGGAAACGATCTTTAAAGTTTTTACGAGGAAAAATAAAAAAGGGTGGAATACTATTTCCAATAGCATTTATTGTGCATGCTAATGTTACAAGAGTTTCTCTTTCAGCTGACGTGATGGCTCCTACTTGTTTTAATCCTTTTTTCGCAATAACCTTTTTAGGTTGCTGTACAGTAGTTACAGCAGTTTCGTCCATGTTCCAAATGTCATTTGGTGAGAACGAGTATTTTTGCATACAGTGCTGCAAATTGCTAAAAAATGATGCAACATTCTGCTTATTGAAACTTGTCGCTCGACTTTAACTAGTAGCTTCAGGTTGCCTAATGGAAATATTTGAATGGCGCTTTATAAATCCTGTAAACCAATCCTTACCAGCTTGTTCCTTTACAACCCAAGAATTGGGAACCTTCATATTATTTTTAATTGCTAGCTGGAAAGCAAGCTTTTTTACTTCGGTAGGAGTTAAACCAAAATATATATCTGCTGCTCGCAACAGGTAGGTGACCAGTTCTTTTTCTACTTTTTCTGGCAATATCAATCGACTTTTGTATCCTATAACATTCAGGAAGGTGGGGTTTTCAATTTTGTCAATTAGATCTGCTATAGAACCATGTGATGGGTTAGTAATAATAATTTTTTTACAATAACGTGCTAATGTTCTGTAACTAATGCCATGGTTTTTTGCTGCTGATCTAATAGAAATGTTATTAATCTTTACATCTTTAACAGCACACATTATGACATCTCCAGAAGTATAACCTCTATTAGCTTTTCTTTTAAAATTTCGTACCATGTTTATTACTAAGCAAATAAAAATATTTGCAAATAATGTAAACAAAACATTAATATATATATATATATATATATATATATATATATATATATATATATATATATATATATATATATATATATATATATATATATACATATATATATATATATATATATATATATATATATATATATATATATATATATATATATATATATATATATATATATATATATATATATATATATATATATATATATATATATATATATATATATATATATATATATATATATAAATATATATAAACCCACTAAATATAAACAATGCACAAACAAAACAACAGACAGTTTTACAAACTAAACAACAGCTAGTTGTTTAGTTTGTAAACAAAACAATAAACAGTTGAACTTCTGCAATCCTTTTTCTATAATTATACTAAACATTGGATCGGAATCTAAAGTTATGCACGTTGAAATAAAAATAATTTAGATTACAGATATTTAGTTAAACAAATATAACACTTTGACTTTAGATTTTTAAATAATATCTTAAACATTAAAATATTCCTCAATAATGCGGAAAATAAACTAAGCCAGCAAGCGGCGTTTAATTTGCAGCGCATGGAGTCGAGGCAAGTGTGACAACCAACCCCATATATTTTGTGACAAGCAACCCCTTCTGAGTAAGTTGCTGGACACCTGTACATTTACCTAAAAGCGTGAGAATTTCATGATAATTTTTTACGGATTAAGTTACTCAAATGAATAAATTACTTTATAAATCTACATTCAAAACACAATAAAATAATTTTCGTTTGGTAAAAGAAAATTTCTGAGTAGGCGAAATTTTACTTTTTCATATCAAAAACCTATAAAAACTAATAACTTTTCTTCTGCACGCTAAAAAAAGATAAAAATTACTGTAAAAATGTTTTTTTTATATAACATTTCCATTGTATAATTTGAAATTTCTATATCTTATTTACATTTCCTGTAATAAACTTTGTGACAACCAACCCGCGTGACAACCAACCCCGCTCTCCCCTACATATGTAAAGTCGTTAATCATAAAAATTGAATAAAATAAAATAAGAAATTAATTTACTTTTTCTTAAATTTATCTAGCCATTCATCTACAGCTTGAAAAATTTTGAAGCTTAACTCAATCGCAAAATATAAAGCTTTTTCTTTTAAACCACTAATTGGGAAATTATCAGCTCTCATTT